TCTCACCTAGACACATGCTATCTTATGACATGATAAGCTAGTCACTGTTACTCTAGAATAAATTGTAATATAGAGCCAGATAATTGACATATAGAAATAACTCTGAAGAAGGATTGTAAATATATTGTTTTTGGCTTTCGTATTGGGAAGAGAGATCTTTAACCCAGTAACTATTTAGATTGAGAATTCTCAAAATTAAAAGGCAGAGTCAAAGAAAGGGCAGCAAAAACTAAAATGACCAACGTTCACTATACCAGATTTTATCTTTTATAAATAACTGACAATCAACACTAGGCTTAGATATGTTCTAATATGTCCTTGATCTATTCTAATTCAAACAATTGTCTTCTAATTCTTCTTATTTATCAACTTTTAAAAATAAAAATCTTAACCTCACTCTCATGATAAAGTAATCATTCATCTGGCCCTAGAATAAATGTAGGTAACTTTCTTAATCTGAAGTGGAAAGACTAAAGTCATAGATGTAGCATATTCTTGTATTTAAAATTTAAAGCACATGCAAGGAAATGAAAATTTTTATACAAAGTGAGATGGACATAGAAGACAACAAAAACACAATGTGACCATGGCAACCAAAGAACTGTATCTAAATAGCACCAGGCAAGACTGTTGTGCTTAATTATATCTACTTAAATATTTCACCAATATCTTAGTCATGATGTCCTGAACAAGCTGATATCATAAACACATTGAATATTATCTGTAAGTTTTTTATACACAATACACATACACGTGTATTTAAATAGGTATTATTAGTTTCCATTGTATACATGTATGTATGTGTATATATATGTCTCAGCTAGATAAATTGTTTGAATAGTCACTTACGCTTTCAGGTAGAATTAACAGAGGGACATTTTTTGTTATGGTGGTTGTTTGAGAAATATTCTGATGGACCAGTGAAAGCTAAATTAAATCACTCACTAAACCAATCTTACTCACTCCAGGACAAAGTCTGGAAGGAAAGGAAAAAACAAGAGAAGAGTAAATCGTTTTGTACAAAAAAGAGTAACCATAGCCATAGTTGGGAATTGTTGTTCACAGTAGCTACAGATTTGCGTGTGTTGTGCTTGGAGGGTGACACATCTGGTAGATGAGAAAATTTATGACTATAAGGGGAGATAAGAAAATGAGCCAGTAAGATGACAGAGGACATGGGAGATAATTTCTGTGATATGAAAATACAGATATGTTTCTAGAATGGGAAAAATTTAAAGTTGCATGTCCCATGTTGTACTTACAGAAGCATATCTTGTTTTACTGTGCTTTGCTTTATTCACTTTGCAGATGTTGCATTTTTTTACAAATTGAAGGTGTGTGGCAACCCTGCATCGAACAAGTCTATTGGCACCATTTTTCCAACAGTATTTGCTCACTTCACGTCTCTGTGTCACATTTTGGTAATTCTCTCAATATTTCAAACTTTGTCATTATTATTATATTTGTTATGGTGAACTGTGATCAGAGATCTTTTATGTTACTATTATAATTGTTCTGGGGTGCCTTAAAGCATGCCCACATATGTTGGTGAACTTAATCGACTGATAAATGTTGTGTGTGTTGTGACTGCTCTGCCAACTGCCTATTCCCTCATCTCTCTCCCTCTCCTCCGGCCTGCCTATTTCCTGAGACACAACAATATTGAAATTAGGCCAATTAATAACCCTACAATGGCCTCTTGGTGTTCATGTAAAAGGAAGAGTCACTTGTCTCTCACTTTAAATCAAAAGCTAGAAATGATTAAGCTTAGTGAGTAAGGCATGTCAAAAGCCAAGATATAGGCCAAAAGCTAGGCCTCTTGCACCAAACAATTATCCAACTTGTAAATGAAAAGGAAAAGTTTTTGAAGGAAATTAAAAGTGCTACTCCAGGGAACACACAAACGATAAGAAAGCAAAACAGACTATTGCTGATATGGAGAAAGTTTTAGGGGTCTGGATAGATCAACCCAGCCACAACATTCCCTTAAGCCAAAGCCTAATTCAGAGCAAGGTCCTAACTCTCTTCAATTCTCTGAAGGCTGAGAGAGGTGAGGAAGCTGCAGAAGAAAAGTTTGAAGCTAACAGAGGTTGGTTCATGAGGTTTAAGGAAAGAGGCCATCTCCATAACATAGAAGTGCGAGGTTAAGCAGCAAGTGCTGGTGTAGAAGCTGCAGCAAGTTACCCAGAGTTACCCAGAAGATCTAGCTAAGATAATTGATGAAGGTGGCTGCACTAAACAGCAGATTTTCAATGTAGACAAAGCAGCTCTCGACTGGAAGAAGATGCCATCTAGGACTTTCACAGCTAGAGAGGAGAAATCAATGCCTGGCTTCAAACCTTCAAAGAACAGGCTGACTCTCTCGTTAGGGGCTAATGCAGCTAGTGACTTTATTTATTTATTTATTTATTTATTTATTTTGTGAGAAAGATCAGCCCTGAGCTAACATCCATGCTAATCCTCCTCTTTTTGCTGAAAAAGACTGGCTCTGAGCTAACATCTCTTGCCAATCCTCCTCCTTTTTTTTTTCCCCCAAAGCCTCAGTAGATAGTTGTACGTTATAGTTGCACATCCTTCTAGCTGCTGTAAGAGGGACATGGCTTCAGCACGGCCGGAGAAGCGGTGAGTCGGTGCGCACCTGGGATCCGAACCCAGGCTGCCAGTAGCGGAGCGCGCGCACTTAACCGCTAAGCCACGGGGCTGGCCCCCAGCTAGTGACTTTAAATTGAATCCAGTGTTATTTACCACTCTGAAAATCCTAGGGCCCTTAAGAATCATGGTAAATCTATTCTGCCTGTGGTCTACAAATGGAATAACAAAGCCTGATGACAGCACATCTGTTTACATCATTGTTTACTGAATATTTTAAGCCCACTGTTGAAACCTACGGCTCAGAAAAAAAGATCTCTTTTAAAATATTACTGCTCATTGACAAGGCATCAGGTCACCCAAGAGCTCTGATGGAGATGTACAAGATTAATGTTTTTATTCCTGCTAACACAACATCCATTCTGCAGCGCATGGATCAAGGAGTAATTTCAACTTTCAAATCTTATTATTTAAGAAATACATTTTTTAAGGCTATCACTGCCAGAGATAGTGATTCCTCTGATGAATCTGGGCAAAGTAAATTGCAAATCTTCTGGAAAGGATTTACCATTCTATTTTTTTTCTTTTCCCCCAAAGCCCCAGTAGATAGTTGTATGTCACAGTTGCACATCCTTCTAGTTGCTGTATGTGGGACACCGCCTCAGCATGGCTGGAGAAGCGGTGCGTTGGTGCGCGCCAGGGATCCTAAACTGGGCCGCCAGCAGCGGAGCGCGCGCGCACTTAACCACTAATTCTAGATGCCATTAAGAACATTCATAATTCATGGGAGAGGTCAAAATACCAATATTAACAGGAGTTTGGAAGAAGTTGATTCCAATTCTCATGGATGACTTGGAGGGGTTTAAGGCTTCAATGGAGGAAGTAATGCAGATGTGGTGGAAATAGCAACGGAACTAGAATTAGAAGTGGGGCCTGAAGATGTGACCAAATTGCTGCAATCTCATGATAAAACTTGAACAAATGAGGAGGTACTTTTTATGAATGAGCAAAGAAAGTGGTTTCTTGAAATGGAATCTACTCCTGGTGAAGACGCTGTGAAGGTTGTTGAAATGACAACAAAAGGTTTAGAATATTACATAAATTTAGTTGGTAAAGCAGTCTCAGGGTTTGAGAGGATTGACTCCAATGTTGAAAGAAGTTCTACTGTGGGTAAAATGCTATCTAACAGCATTACATGCTACAGAGAAATCGTTCATGAAAGGGTCAATCAATGCAGGAAAAATCATTGTCTTATTTTAAGAAATTGCCACAACCACCCTAACCTTCAGAAACCACTACCCTGATCAGTCGGCAGCCATCAACATCGAGGCAAGACCCTCCACCAGCAAAAAAATTATGACTTGCTGAAGGCTCAGATGATGGTTGGCATTTTTTATCAATAAAGTATTTTTCAATTAAATTATGTACATTGTTTTTTGACACAATGCTATTGCACACTTAATAGACTACTGTATAGTGTAAAAATAACTTTTAAATGCACTGGGAAACCAAAAAATTCATGTGACTCGCTTTATTTTGAATACACTTTGTTGTGGTGGTCTGGAAACCAAACCCGCAATATCTTGGACGTATGCCCATTCTCTGCCACCCAGAAACATTCCGTATGTTTCACACCTACAATTACACTACGGAGGGATGAAGGAAAGAGATACATCCTGAATATGAAGAAGGAGGTAAGAAGCAAGAGAAGATGACAGCCACTGGAGAGGGATTACTAAAACCAGATTGCTAATGATTACTGGCATCAGAGGAGCAGGTGGCTGAATGGACCACCAATCAGGAGAAATTTTAGTCATTAATCCCTATTTTCTCAACCCAAGCACTCTTAGAAACATGGGGATGATATGCACAACTGCTCAGGTTGTATAGAATAAAGGTTTGTGATATTCTATCTAAAAGCTGAAGGAAAATGTGTCCTTACAAACTGGAAGTTTGGTGACGTGTGTCTGTTTATGCACATGGGTACATGGGCACATTTGTGTTTGTCTGGATGTTTATTTCACACAACCACAGCTCTTTATGAATGGATTAACTGTTTATCTAACTCTCTTATTTTTGTTCACACATCCTATTTTGAATTAAAGAGATTGGAAATTTGTGAGGGATAAGGAGACGATAAACAACTATTGAAAGATTATTAAGCACAGGACCTTCATATACATTTTCTGATTCAGTCCTCACGGGAACCTGAATTTTCAGACTCTTCCACAAAATTTAGGCTATAATTAAGTACCACTGTATTAAATATTTATTGCCACAGTAATGCTCTATAAGAAAAATAAAGTCTCAGTGGCATACAATAATAGCATCCATTGATCCTGAATCTAGGGTATTTGGATATACGGGTCTGCTGATTTTAACAGCACTTGCCCACATGTCTGTATGTCAGCTGGCTGCTAACGTAACAGGCCTCAGCTGAGATGATGAAGGAAACTTTGCTCTATGTGGCTCTCTGCCTTCAGCAGTCTAGTTGGTATATGTCCCTTTCATGGTGATAGCAGAAAGAAAAAACACAAGCAAAAATGTGCAAACGCTTTTTCAAGTCTCTGCTTGTATCATACCTTTTAGAACACAACTGACCAAAGCAAGTCACATGATCAAGACCAGAATCAGAATTGGAGAGCCTTTCAAAGTTACTTGATAAAGGTGTAGATCCAGGAAGAGATGAAAAATAAAAGCTTTTAAGGAAATTAATCTACCAAACCATAAAATACATTTTTCTTTATTTCTTTTATATGTATATATTGCCTACTAAAGAGAAATATAAGAGGACTCAAAAACAGAATCTATCACACCTACGTCTTTTGAAAAACTTATGTCCTTTAAAATGTAAACCACGATAATTGAAACACAGCAAGTATATAGTAAGTATTATTGATTTTTGGGAATTCAGAATGTTTTATGAAATTTGCTTGAGTCTCAGAAAGTAGAGGAAGACACAGCCAGACTTTGATACTGTTGGGTGCAGTGGTTCAGATTTGGCTGCCTCTGGCACTAGTTTTCATTGTTAGCCATTGTAGGGCACTGAATTAAAAAAAAAAAAAAAATGTTAAATATTGCCAAATTGATCTTTTACTACATCGGCATCAAATGGACTGAAAAAAAGTTGTCCAAATTTAGAAAACTTAGTTCAGCAAGTGACTTCTCAACTATTTCACTTTCAGGTCACATTATTGTTCTCATTTGTCCTACTAAGAACTAGACCGTTAAAAAGGGTGTAGTGCTCTTTAGAAATCTATCCATATGGGGAATCTTAATCTAAGATATCTTATAGCTTTTAATGCATTTTTGTGATAAATTGAAGCATGTCAGGAGGCCTGTGTTAGGGTTCTATTTTCCACCTTATAGCAGCAAATTATGCCTTTTTAGGTCAGTCAAATTTAAAAAATGATATAGACAAAAACTTTTTTTTTAAATTTCTACTGAAACTGCAGTGGTAATTAAAGTGGGAAATGGAAAAACAGAAATAGTGAACTTAAATTATGCTTTGAATATTTATTTGAACATCTCATCTCATTTTAGAGCATGAAAAATATCAGAAATGGAATTCTTTCACGATTCTTTTTTTAAATATAAAATTTAATATAATAATATTTTAATGATAATTATAACTCAATTCAACATTTACTGCTTGTCTATATGCCCAGTAGGTGCCAGAGTGTAGTAAAGGGAAAAAAGAAAAGAAAAAAAATTAAAACTTGCAGCAATATTTTTGACCTTAGTATGATTTCACTAATCATAAACAAACACTAATCAAACCAAAAGAGTTAACAATTAAATCTGGCAAAATTGTGATTCGGAGGTCAGAAACTGCTATAACAATTGAACTGCTAGAACAATTGTGGAAGATTTCATGGAAAACAAAAATTGGTGCAAAATTGAGGGCAATCTTCAAAGCAGTCTGGAATTCTACAGTCACTTTAATTTAGGGAGGGAGAAATGTTATATTTTGTTATAAAAATTTAGGATTGATAAATTTGACTAAAGAGAAATGAACATTTAGGAAAAGAACAACACATATTTTCAAGTATTTGACTGAATACACATAGCAAGTTACAACTATACCATGCTGTCCGCTTTGACTTTGATACCCTTGACTTTCTTGAACCTTGAGAATCCCTCCTATTCAACTCTCAGTATCAACACCAAATATATCTTTTCTGAGAGATCCTTACTAGAACAGAAGGAATAACTGTTATCCATTGCTCATTTTGCATTATACTGCTTATAAATATTTTCTCACCACTAAATGTGATGAAAAATTACCTGAAAAAAACTATGAATTTTCTTCATTTTATTTACCTTTTCTTTTTTCAGCTCTCTAAAGATCTATTTACTGAACAATCCAACCTGAACAACTAGTTTACCAGCCATCCAATACTCTTCCCTCATCTGGACAAAAGCAAGAGGTATACTATGGGTTTATTCACACCCACAAGACTTAGGACCCAGTACCATTCTTGCAATTTCAGTTTAGCTCAGGATCTGGGATACTACAAGTTAAGTATGGGTTTTCACCTATTCTGAACTCTTTGGTATCATTTTGCTACCAATCTAGGGACACACTGCTTTTCTTGCTTATTGTACCATGATCATTGCCCTCTTTTTCTGCTTGATGCCATTTCATTCCATTTCTATCTCAGAAATGAAGCGTTGTTCTAAACTCTAGACAAAGTGAGGAACATTGGCATCCCAGAAAATCTTCTCTTGGGTGGATTTTGCCTGACTATCAATAGAGAACCTAAAATATGTTGAAAGTTCTCTTAGTATGATTTTTGCCATCTTCTTGCCACTGTTCAATATTTTGCATTGATATGCTTTGTACAGTGATTCAGGACTTCTAGTAGTTATCATGAATATCCAGACCAAAGGAGCCATTAAAACAAAATGGAAGAGCAAATATCAAAGGCATAACCTCAAAAGGAATTTCTTTAGATCAGGTGACAGTGCTGGTGCCATTACCTAGATTGATCATGGAAATGATGAGGCAAAACAAAAACGTTAAAAAGTAGCCAGAGGATAGTCTGAAACATAACCTTCATTAAGCTGGAGGGGTGGACTGAGAATATAAAAGCCAAATTGAGAATATCAAAGCCAAACTGTTAAAGATGTAATAATAACCAAGAATATTGACTCTAGAGTAAGGAATTATGGATGAAATGTAGAAGTAGAAAAGCTAAAGCAATTCAAGTGACAACATTAGCATGTTTTATTATAATTTATTTCATGAAAAGTCTACTATGTGTTATCAAGTTGAGAGTATTTTATTAATGGCAAATTATGGAGATGTCTGTCTTATATCTAAGGTCAGGTCTTGTCCTGCCTCAGAGTCTGAACAATTATTCCACTACTAATGCCATCAAAATGAGCTGGACTAGCCCATATGGATTTGGAATCTTTGAGGCAGGGATTATTTCAGATACTTTTAAAGTTTTTGATCAAGATTAAGTTTTTTGAGGTATGGATACAGTAGCACATATAAAAGTTGGAAAAAATATAGGGATAACAGTGCCACCCTCAAGGATTTCTGCACAGTGGTCAATACAATAACATCTTCAGCAAATAAAGTATTTCTCTCTAAACAAAGTATTTAGACTTTGCCATTATTGTACATTTAAAGAGCTTAAAATTGTTAATTCCTACCCTAATCCTGGATTACTATGATCAAATATAGCCAAATACAAGAAATATCACCATGGAGACAATCCTTTAAGATGATCTTCCAAATGTATCCTTCAAATAGAATCTACTACTTTTGAAACACATCTTTATATTCAAAACACATATAATACGTAAGAATGTAGTAGAATTGGCCTCAACAGTGGACATGAATCCATGGACCACCAACTTTGAGGCAGCCCACAACCACAGGAGGATTTGTTTGGCCACTGGAGCAAAACTCAAAATTTTGTCTATGTTAGTGAAAAAAGAAACTTTCTACAGTTTTTTTCCAGCTAGAAAACCAAGAAGACATCCTTTCAGTTAAGTCGTATTCCCAAGACGCAGAAGAGGCTACCCAATCTTAATCAATTATGGTTCAAAAAAACGTATGTGCATTCAATCTAAATCACAGCTAAGCAAGGCAATAGAGTTTCAGCACTACTTGGTCAAAATTAAGAACCACTCAGAAGAAATACCAAGGCCCAAGGTCTACAGAAGGGCCTTTTCTACTAGAAAAATTCCCGAGAATATGTTATACTTGAGGAAATTAATGTGCAAGTACTATGTCTCTGAACATAGCAGAACTACGATGGGCCACTGATGGTAATTCAAACCAATAAACACAATACCGAGACTCTGACGCACCAGTCACTTGCTTTTCCAAAAATAGTATACTTTTCTATTCTTAATAAAGAATATATTTTTATTAAATACTATTTTATTAAAAAAAACCATCTCCTTATTTATCATGAAATTTTCCAGTATCTATATCTTATTCACCCATCTTTTTTCAAGTTCTGTTCCCAGTTCTTTTCCCTTTCTTCACTTCCCTTCCTTCCCCCTGCCCTTATCTTGTCTACTCATTTGTTCTTCTTTCCTTCTATTTTTTCTTCACAATATTTATTTAGCACATGCTGGGGTTCACTTAATATGCTAGTCAATTGTGTCCTATATTTATATAATATATATATTTGTATATACTATACATAGATATTTGTTTCTCCTTTCTTTGCTATTCATTGCTCCAATAACTTACTATTGATCAAATATCTGTGTGTATATATACATACATTTATTTATGCTCTATATTTACTATATAAATATTGGCTATATATACATTTTACTATATATGTATATTCACATATGCACAATGTATACATATATATATATATATAAATACCTACTCGTATTCATATATACATAGATATGCACACATACACAGATATAAACCTGGAATTTATTGTCTCGTTAAGAGGTTGGCAAACTATGACTCACACGGCCAAATCCAGGCCACTGTCTGTTTCTATGAACAAAGAGTTATTGGACCACAGTAACCATTTTTTAATGTATTGTCTATGGCTGCTTTTGTGTTATAACGATAGAGTTGAGTAGCTGTGACAAAGACTTTACAGCACCCTAAACCCCAAATATTTACTGTCTGTTCCTGTCCATAAGATGTTTGCCTATCCTGGTCTAGTTACTTTTTGGAAAAGCAGTATTTTCATATACATTATTTTTTTCAAGTATTTATTAAATCAATAAAAAAATATTAAGAGTAAACTAGATTCCACTTGGCATTAAAAAGTCAAATTGGCAATGGCCTTTACCCTCAAATAGTAAATCTTATCTAATTACAGACGAGACAGGGTGAAAACTGCACACAGGGTAATACATGTGTGCATTTATATGTTCAAATACATATTTATTTGAATATATAACATATATATTCAATTTTCTTCT